CCGCAAAAGCGTCCAGATTCAGGCGTTGAGGTAGCTCAACGCTGCTAGTGGGACTTGGCCCCCGCCGGCCTCCGGAGACCGAGTTGTTAATATAAGCTACACTTCAAAAAAAAAAAAAAAAAAATCCGAGCGTGCCTCTTTCCCAAGAGCGGGAATGTGGTGAGGCAGTCTCACATCGCGACTCTATCAGGCTTACGTGACAGCAGTTACGGCCAGAGGTTGAAGTGAAGGAAGGAGGAGAAAGTGTGAGTAGCCTCCAATAATTAACGAACATCACGTAAACCCCGTCCTGCCGACCGCTCGTTTCTTATCACCGGGGTCTCCGCATATTGGCAATCGCCACACCACTCTCGAAATGTGCAAAATCAGAATGAACTTCCTGCTAGAACATGTCCAGATGCACCCGCCACACTTCTTGTCTTTTTCACCTTTCGACACTGGCGTGGCGAGGCCCATTGTCGGCTGGTGCTACCCGCAGCGGTCTCTCTCTCTCTCTCTCTCTCTCTCTCCAGCGGTCTCTCTCTCTCTCTCTCTCTCTCTCTCTCTCTCTCTCTCCAGTCTTCCTCCCTCGCTCCGGATTTGACGTTGTCTTACCGTCTATCTCATGAATCGCCGCCGGAAACGCGGCCAGGTGCATATCATTTCTGCTTGTTGCTGTCCACGGCGTTGTCGAAGCATCGAAACTGGTCCCTAGGAACGAGGAACCCATAAACATGATGGCGAGACTATCTTTTTTTTTGGAGGGAGACAATGTTTTGCTCGACGCAAAATCTGCAAAACAAGTACACTGCGAAGACATTCGGAAAACACCGACTCCCTCCCTACCTCCCTCCCGTCCCCCAGTACTTCTCCATCCCTCCTCCCCAACCAGTGAATCTCCCTCCCTCCCGTCCCCCAGTACTTCTCCATCCCCTCCTCCCCAACCAGTGAATCCGATTTTCCAAATTTCCACTTAATATGCACATGGTTTCGGACCGCGAAGTAAAGGGCATATCAGCCTTGCTCTTCGCCTTCATTTTTCACAGCCGTCCGATCAACTGGGTGCCCATCCTCCAATCCTGTATTTGCCTCCGAAGCAACCACGCACCGAAAAGCCCAATCTCTGTTTTCCCCTCCACATTCAATTCTCCTTCTCCATTCCTTCTTCAACCTTCCCTACCTACCGTCTCCTTCGCTCTCTCCCTGCCTGTCTCCTCCTCGAGCTGCCAGCCTCCCATGCACTCTTCTCCTTGCACCCTCCCCCCCCCTCTTCTCTCTCTCTCTCTCTCTCTCTCTCTCTCTCTCTCTCT